GGAGTCCTCCAGCAGAGCAGAGTATTTCAGGAGAGGAGAGTTATAGAGGAAGGAGCGGAGTCCTCCAGCAGAGCAGAGTATTTCAGGAGAGGAGAGTTATAGAGGAAGGAGAGGAGTCCTCCAGCAGGGCAGAGTATTTCAGGAGAGGAGAGTTATAGAGGAAGGAGCGGAGTCCTCCAGCAGAGCAGAGTATTTCAGGAGAGGAGTTATAGAGGAAGGAGTGGAGTCCTCCGGCAGCGCAGAGTATTTCAGGAGAGGAGAGTTATAGAGGAAGGAGCGGAGTCCTCCAGCAGGGCAGAGTATTTCAGGAGAGGAGTTATAGAGGAAGCATTTGGATCTTCTCTGTATATTTCTCATCCTCGGGGGGGGGGGGGGGGGGGTTGAGGAATTAACGATCGGAATGTTATCATCATAAATAAAATTCGATATCACTGGGCTGGGATTTGTGATGTAGGAAATGCTCCGTCGCCCTCCGCCGCCATCACATGACCAGTCCGAGGTGTCAGCAGTGAAGACTCTCCTGACACTGAAGTCCTCGAGACCAGAAGATTCTCACATCAGACGACCGGATCGCCGTTTCCTTTTTTATCCTTCGGTCAGAAAGTTCGATGTTTTCCGTGTCGACACGCCTGGCAAAGAGGAACTATAATTATATCCGCAGCCAGAAGATCTGCATTACAAATGGATTTCTCGCATGCTTCTGCCCTGCAGGTTCTGCTGCCCCAGACAGGTGCCTTGTAGCCGGGTCCTTCCAGCCGGACACTCCAGCTGCTCCCCCCCTCCTCCTGACACCCCCCCAAAATCACACATCGCTCGTTTGTAGAATGATGCGCGCCACAACGCAGCACGATGGAGAATCGCACATCGCCCTTTTGTAGAATGATGCGCGCCACAACGCAGTGTAATGGATGGAAAATCGCACATCGCCCTTTTGTAGAATGATGCGCGCCACAACGCAGCGCGATGGACGGAAATTCGCACATCGCCCTTTTGTGGAATGATGCGCGCCACAACGCAGTGTAATGGATGGAAAATCGCACATCGCCCTTTTGTAGAATGATGCGCTCCACAACGCAGCACAATGGAGAATCGCACATCGCCCTTTTGTAGAATGATGCGCGCCACAACGCAGCGAGATGGACGGAAATTCGCACATCACCCTTTTGTAGAATGATGCGCTCCACAACGCAGCGCAATGGAAAATCGCACAACGCCCTTTTATAGAATGATGCGCTCCACAACGCAGCACGATGGAGAATCGCACATCGCCCTTTTGTAGAATGATGCGCGCCACAACGCAGCACGATGGAGAATCGCACATCGCCCTTTTGTAGAATGATGCGCGCCACAACGCAGCACGATGGAGAATCGCACATCGCCCTTTTGTAGAATGATGCGCTCCACAACGCAGCGCAATGGAGAATCGCACATCGCCCTTTTGTAGAATGATGCGCGCCACAACGCAGCGCAATGGAGAATCGCAAATCGCCCTTTTGTAGAATGATGCATGCCACAACGCAGTGTAATGGATGGAAAATCGCACATCGCCCTTTTGTAGAATGATGCGCTCCACAACGCAGCGCAATGGAGAATCGCACATCGCCCTTTTGTAGAATGATGCGCGCCACAACGCAGCACGATGGAGAATCGCACATCGCCCTTTTGTAGAATGATGCGCTCCACAACGCAGCGCAATGGAGAATCGCACATCACCCTTTTGTAGAATGATGCGCGCCACAACGCAGTGTAATGGATGGAAAATCGCACATCGCCCTTTTGTAGAATGATGCGCGCCACAACGCAGCGCGATGGACGGAAAATCGCACATCACCCTTTTGTAGAATGATGCGCTCCACAACGCAGCGCAATGGAAAATCGCACATCGCCCTTTTATAGAATGATGCGCTCCACAACGCAGCGCAATGGAGAATCGCACATCGCCCTTTTGTAGAATGATGCGCTCCACAACGCAGCGCAATGGAAAATCGCACATCGCCCTTTTATAGAATGATGCGCTCCACAACACAGCGCAATGGAGAATCGCACATCGCCCTTTTGTAGAATGATGCGCTCCACAACGCAGCGCAATGGAGAATCGCACATCGCCCTTTTGTAGAATGATGCGCTCCACAACGCAGCGCAATGGAGAATCGCACATCGCCCTTTTATAGAATGATGCGCGGCACAACGCAGCGCGATGGAGAATCGCACATCGCCCTTTCCTAGAGTGATGCGCTCCACAACGCACTACAGTCTGGTGTCATAGTTCAGCACGCCGGTCCCGTTTTGCAGCGCCGGGTCCCCGGGTCCCTCCGTAGGGGTGACACAGCCATGCAAGGTGCAGGAAGGCGATTATTACGGGTAATAATGCAGTTTTATGAGCTGACAGCGATTATTGCGGTGATTGAGGACAGGAAGTGGCTCTGCAATGTGTTTATTAGGCTTTCTTGTTACAATTATAGGCTTTTTATTTGTTACACGGCTCTTAGGTGGAGCCGCCAGTCCTGAGCGCCACGCCCTGAGAATCGAACGAAAAAATGAAAGAAGTGACTTGTGTGCCGTCCTGACCGTCACTCACCAGAGCTCACCGGACTCCGGGGCCCAGAGAAAGTGGCGACATTTGTGACGTCATCCCGCAGGGCTGCTCATTATATATGTATATATCACCGAGCAAGCGGAGGAAACCGACATCTCTGCCTGATGATGTACATACATGGAGGAAAAGCATAAAGGGAAGACGTTGATCACCGCGATGTCACAAAGTGACCTGTCAGTAAATTCCTGACATGTCACAAAACCATCCTTCACTTCCAGTCAGCGGCTTTGTCTAGGCTGAGATGATGTCATCAGTCTGCTGCAGGCAGGAGGAAGCATTTCCTCAGTTTCCCTTCCCCCAGTGATCAGACTGTACATTGTAACTTGTAGAAGGAGAAGGAGGCATTTCCTCAGTCTCCCCTCCCCCAGTGATCAGACTGTACATTGTAACTTTGTAGGAGGAGTCGGCATTTCCTCAGTCTCCCGTCCCCCGTGATCAGACTGTACATTGTAACTTTGTAGAAGGAGGAGGAGGCGTTTCCTCAGTCTCCCCTTCCCAGAGATCAGACTGTACATTGTAACTTTGTAGAAGGAGAAGGAGGCATTTCCTCCGTCTCCCCTCCCCCAGTGATCAGACTGTACATTGTAACTTGTAGAAGGAGGAGGGGGCATTTCCTCAGTCTCCTCCCCAGCGATCAGACTGTACATTGTAACTTTGTAGAAGGAGAAGGCGGCATTTCCTCAGTCTCCCCTCCCCCAGTGATCAGACTGTACATTGTAACTTTGTAGAAGGAGGAGGAGGCATTTCCTCAGTCTCCCCTCCCCCAGTGATCAGACTGTACAGTGTAACTTTGTAGAAGAAGGAGGCGGCATTTCCTCAGTCTCCTCCCCCAGTGATCAGACTGTACATTGTGGCTTTGTAGAAAGGGTAGGAGGCATTTCATCAATCTCCTCCCCCAGTGATCAGATTGTACATTGTAACTTTGTAACAAGTCACAAGGTGAGAGGCTGCAGCAGGGGGCAGATTTGTGTCAGACATTTGTGAACACCAGCAATAATTACACTGGACAGTTGGGAAATCCTCTGATTGCTTCATTGACAGCCCTGGAACGCCCCGGGCAGAATCATGACATACAGTGCATCCTCAGACCTGACCTCACCTTGACATGCTGGAGTGCACACAGGATCGGGGTTTCTGCATGAAGATGGAAAAGTCCCAGACCCGGGAACGCTGCACTCCAAACCCCTCCCTCTCCATTCTGGTGCCAAATATAATCTAAAGGAAGGGGCCCCAATTTTGCTAGTTTAGCAGGACCAGCTTTCTTCTACATGTGGCACAGGAAGGGCAAACCATGCAGGGACTTGTAGTTCCTCACAAGAGGCAGATTTATTTTTATGCAGCATCAGCAGATTCTAGTGAAATGGATTTTATTTCTGTTTTTTGTACAACAGGAAAGATTAGAATGAATGAATCTCACTTTTCTGCCTTTCCCCAGATTTATCTCATCCAATGAGAATCGTGCAATTTCTGAAGCGATAGTCATTCATTGGACCGGAGATCTGCATGCGTGTGTTCAGATTTGCAGACTGATTCGCTCCACAGAGAGGGGCTGCAAACAGCTGATTGGCTGCTTCAGCTCCTCCCACTGCAGATGGGGCCCCTAGATGAGGCCGGGGCCCTCCAGCTTGCAGGATCCGGATGTCCATAAAAAGAAGCCGTATAAATATCATCTGCAGCTCCTCCAATGCACTAATTACCTGACTCATGCCATTAGTTTGTTTTATGCTTGTTTGTTATTGCTCTTTATACTTGTCTGCTCTCCACTCCTTCCCCCCCCGAGCAACAAAAGCCGTCCAGCTTGCCAAGCCAGCAATAAATAAAACACACAGAAATAGTTCAGCATCTTCTTGGCAGGAGAGTCCCAGATCCAGAATAATCCATCGGCTGCTACGACACGCCTACAAGAAGCATCACCGCCACAACAAACCTGTCCAGAATGGAAAGAAACAATACAACCACCAACAGAAAGAATGCAAATGTCAAAATGTATAGAAATAGAACAATACATAGAATATAAAAAAAAATGTTAACAAAAGGAAAAAAAAAATACATTTTTATATATATAAATACAATATTCATATGATGTTATATAGTATAAAGCGTATAAAGAATATAAAATTTTAAAAAGTCTAAAAGAAACAGTACAATAAATATAAAGTATCCAAATTTTAAAAAAGTATAGGAATATATGTAAAATAAAATAATGTAACAATAAACACATAGAATATAAAAAAAATCTATTAAGCATAGGGAAAAATAAATAATATATATATATATACACAATATGCATGTGATGTTATGTAGTATAAAGCATTGGAAAAAAAGAATATAAAATATAACTTGTCTTTAACAAACTCGTGCAGACTCCGCCTCCGCAACATGCAGACTCCGCCTCCGCAACATGCAGACTCCAGCTCCGCAACATGCAGACTCCGCCTCCGCAACATGCAGACTCCGCCTCCGCAACATGCAGACTCCAGCTCCGCAACATGCAGACTCCAGCTCCGCAACATGCAGACTCCACCTCCGCAACATGCAGACTCCACCTCCGCAACATGCAGACTCCACCTCCGCAACATCGCCAAAATCCGCACGTTCCTAACCCCAGAAACCACTAAACAGCTCATCCACTCCCTCATCATATCACGACTCGACTACTGCAACTCCCTCCTCACTGGCCTGCCTCGCCACAGGCTATCCCCGCTTCAGTCCATCCTGAATACGGCTGCCAGACTCATCCACCTTTCCAACCGCTCCATCTCCGCCACCTCCCTCTGCCAATCCCTCCAATGGCCTCCACTCAGTGTCCTCCACCCCCCTCTGCCAATCCCTCCACTGACCTCCACTCAGTGACCTCCACCCCCCTCTGCCAATCCCTCCAATGGCCTCCACTCAGTGTCCTCCACCCCCCTCTGCCAATCCCTCCACTGGCCTCCACTCTCAGTGTCCTCCACCCCTCTGCCAATCCCTCCACTGGCCTCCACTCAGTGTCCTCCACCCCCCTCTGCCAATCCCTCCACTGGCCTCCACTCAGTGTCCTCCACCCCTCTGCCAATCCCTCCACTGGCCTCCACTCAGTGACCTCCACCCCCCTCTGCCAATCCCTCCAATGGCCTCCACTCAGTGTCCTCCACCCCCCTCTGTCAATCCCTCCACTGGCCTCCACTCAGTGTCCTCCACCCCTCTGCCAATCCCTCCACTGGCCTCCACTCAGTGTCCTCCACCCCCCTCTGCCAATCCCTCCACTGATCTCCACTCAGTGTCCTCCACCCCCCTCTGCCAATCCCTCCACTGGCCTCCACTCAGTGTCCTCCACCCCCCTCTGCCAATCCCTCCACTGGCCTCCACTCAGTGTCCTCCACCCCCCTCTGCCAATCCCTCCACTGGCTTCCGATTGCGCAACGGATCAAATTCAAAATCCTAACACTGACGTACAAAGCCGTCCACCATACTGCCCCGAACTACATCACTGACCTAATATCCAAGTACCGCCCAGCACGCACACTCCGCTCCTCACAAGACCTCCTTCTCTCTAGTTCCCTGGTCTCCTCCTCCCATGCCCGCCTCCAGGACTTCTCCAGGGTCTCACCCATCCTCTGGAACTCCCTGCCCCAACCCATCAGATTATCACCTACTCTCCTCTCCTTTAGGCGCACCCTGAAAACCCATCTCTTCAGGGAAGCCTACCCCACCCCCTGCTAACTTGCCAACCTCCTCCACTCTTCCTACCACTCCATCCCCCACAGCTATCTCCTCCTGTACCACCATCCCCTCCCTCCTAGATTGTAAGCTCCAAGGATCAGGGCCCTCAATCCCCTCATGTATCACATTGTATTGGTATTGTTCTGTCACATGTTCTGTCCCCCTCTGTAATGTACAGCGCTGAGCCAACTATTGGGGCTTTATAAATACTGTATAATAATAATAATAATATTTTAAAAAATCTAACAGTACAACAAAAAATATAAAGAATCCAAATTTTAAAAAAGTATAGGAATATATGTAAAAAAAAAAATTATGTAACAAACACATAGAATATAAAAAAAAAATCTATTAACCCCTCGCCTACCGAGCACTTCTACCCCCTTCTTTACCAGGCCAATTTTCAGCTTTCAGCGCTGTGGCACTTTGAATGACAATTGCGCGGTCATGCAACATTGCACCCATATGAACTTTTTATCATTTTTTTCTCATAAATAGAGCTTACTTTTGGTGGTATTTAAATCGCCGCTGAGTGTTTTACTTTTTGTGCTATAAACAAAATAAATGCAAAAAAATTTGAAAAAAAAAAAAAAAAAGTCTTTATTTCTATTCTAAAATTTTGCAAACAGGTAATTTTTCTCCTTCACTGATGTGCGTTGAGGAGGCAGCACTGATAGGCGGCACTGCTGGGCATTGACTGGCACAACTGCTGGGCGGCACTGCTGGGCGGGACTGGTGGGCACTGCTGGGCGGGACTGGTGGGCACCGAACAGGGCACTGATGATCGGTGCCGATCCCCGCTCTGACAACTGCCGGTTCTCAGCAGTACTTTCCTCACGATCTGACAGCGTGAGGAAAGTGCAGCCGAGAACCAGCAATTGCATTTCCCTCTGATCAGCGTGTCATTGGACACAGCTGATCACGTGGTAAAAAGGCTGCTGTGATTGGCTTTTTACCACATCACGTGATCAGCTGTGTCCGTAGGTCACAGATATCATGGAGATCACTGGGGGCGTGCAGGAGAGCGTGTTCTGGGAGGACATCATATGACGGCCTCCCAGAAATGGCCGACCGCACTGCAACCGTCATTCAGCTATCTGCGGTCAGCAACTAGTTAACAAAAGGGGAAAAATAATTATATATATATATGATATGCATACGATGTTTAATAGTATAAAGCATTGACAAAAAAAGAATATAAA